AACATCTACCTCTGGGACATGCACAACCCCCGGGTGAAGCTGGTCTCTTGGCCACTCTGCTCCCTGCGCCGCTACGGGCGCGATGCCACCCGCTTCACCTTCGAGGCCGGACGGTGAGATGTCACCCTTGCTGGGACAGGGACCACCACTGGGTGCCTTCATCCTGCTGGGTGCACCAGGAGGTGACACTGCTGCCATCACCCCAGAGCAGGCCTGACACCAGGGTGATGGCTAACGCCCACATAGGGTGCCTCATGGCCAGGGAGGTTTGGTGCTGGAACTGGTCCCAGCTCAGCACCATGGAGGGGACATGGGGACAACACTTAGAGTGTGGGAAGCTGGGCCAGCTGCCACCTGGGCAGTGGGTATTTTTTATCATTCCTTGGCTTGGGGACCGCAGTGACACCCCGTGCTCTGTCCCTGCAGGATGTGTGACGCAGGGGAAGGTCTCTACACCTTCCAGACGCAGGAGGGTGAGCAGATCTACCAGCGCGTGCACAGTGCCACGTTGGCCATCGCCGAGCAGCACAAGAGGGTCCTGCTGGAGATGGAGAAGAACGTCAGGGTGAGCTCCAACCTACCCTGGGGGCATGGATGGGGTGGGGGGCTCAGGGTGCCCTGTGTCACCCTCACCCCCTTCTCGTCCTACACAGCTGCTGAACAAGGGCACCGAGCCCTTCTCCTACCCCTGCACCCCCACCACCATGCTGCCCCGCAGCGCCTACTGGCACCACATCACCGGCTCCCAGAACATGGCTGAGTCCTCCAGCTACGCCGGTGAGTGTCCCCGTTCCCCACTGAGGAGCCACCGCTCCTCCAGCCCCTGGGGCATCCCCCCCAAGCCCACCCTCTGCTTCATCCCCAGGGCAGGCATATGTGGGCGCCCAGGCCAGCTCGGACACCGACCTCCTCAACAGGTTCATCTTGCTGAAGCCAAAGGCCTCCAAAAGTGACAAACCTGAAAGCAGGGAGCCCACATCGTCCCCGTGAGCCAGCGGGGGGGACCGCGGTGGGGGTCCCTGTTTTCTTCCCAGAGGGGTGGCAAGGACACAGGCAGCTGCTTCTCTGAGTCCCCAGGGAGACTAGGCGAGGGCATTCTCCGTGCCAAGACCTTGGGGGAGCAGGTGCTGGCTCATGCCCTGGCCTGGCATTACAGGAGGTGATGGCTGGCTCAGCCTCGACTGACTTGAAATATATATCAAATATCCGTATTATAAGAGATTTTTCCTTCTCACACGAACACAAACTCCATGGCTGCTGAAGAGCCCTTGGGCAGAGATGCTCAGAGGGGTGTTTTTGACTCTTGGGGCTCCAGCTGGGAGGTGGAGAAGGGCACGGGGGGGTGTCAAGGAATTCAGTGTGTTTTCTGCAAGGAGGGGGAAGGCTGGAGCATCACCCTGCGCCAGGACGGAGCAGTGCTGGAGGATGTGGCTGTGCCAGGCTGATGGTGCAGGGTCCCAACATCTCACTCCACCCTGTGAAGAGTGGGGTGCTCCTGGGGATGCCCCACCACCCTTGAGCTGATTTTTGCACTTCTCAAAGCTATTCAAACACTCACTGCAGAATTGAGATGTCTCAGGAGAAACTGGTTTTCCTTCTGGAGGGTTGGCTGGGGTGAGCAGCCAGGCAGAGACAAGCCCCCCCTGGCTTTCTCGAGCTGCCCCCACCCTGGCACCCCTTGTTCCTCCACCCACAGCTGCTCTCCCCAGCCATGCTCCCCAGTTTATCTGCTGGTGGGCAACCCAGGGACAGGTTTTGGCCAGTAGCATCTGTCCCTCAAGGGGCAGCTTTGCGGATATAAACCATCCCTGGGCAGAGAAGCCCAGGCTGATGGGGCAGAGCTGCGTTTCTCCGTGTGTTCCCGTAGTCCTCGCTCCCTGCTCGCCCTCCAGTGCGGCCGGGTGAAAGCCCTCGCCCAGGGGGCAGCTGGGCTTCGTGTGCTGAACTCAAAAGCAATTGATTTTTTCTAGTTCTCCTATTTATTGACCTCCTTTAGAAGGGCTATCTTTTTATTGCCGTGCAAACCTTGGTGTTTCTTTGGAGTCTTCTTTCGGTCTGGGTTGTGTGGTTGGTGGTTTTATTTCCACCCGTAACGCTCCAGGTCTGTGCTTTGGGGACGGGGAGTGTTGTGATGTGGGAACCTGTGGTCTGTAAATACTGTGTCTTGGGTTTGTGTAGCTTGTGGCTGAGGCTGGGGAGCTGCTGGGGAGATGGTGGGATGGAGAAGAGCTGATCCCCACAGCACAACTGGGTGCAGAGGGGCTCGTTGGCACCCCAGCACCACCCAGTAGCATGTCCTCCCCTGGGTGAGAGGTGTAACCCGCTCTCTTTTCCTAGCTACACACCTCAGCTGGAAAAGATTTAACATTACAAAAAGTGTTTGGGTTTTCTTTTTTTAAGGAGTTGCTCAATGAATAAACAACCCTCATCCACCCTTCCTGTTTGTCTGTTCCATCCAAACGCAACTTGGGAAGAGCAAGCAGGAGCAGCGCCTGCCAGAGAGAAAAATGCTGATGGGGGGAGATTTCCTAACGCTCCCGGCAGTGTGCTTGGCTCCAAGCTTTGTTCTGCCTCCAGTCACAGCCAGGACATTTCAAGAGAAGCCCTAAAACTTCTGGGGAGGGGAGAAAGGTGGAGCGAGTTGCCACCCTCTATCAACCAACCCCAAGTGAAACAGGACAGCAGCACCCCACTGTCACCCCGTGGCTCTGGGGATGTGCCAGGGCAGTGCAAAGGAGTTTCATCTCCCAGCTCTCACAGACTTGTGCCGGTTCGGTCATCTGTGCCATGACTGTCTGGCAGAACGCTCGCTCGAGGCGAGATGGCCACCCTAGCCGGGGCAGCGCTCCCTCCAGGGACAGGGACAGCTCTTGAGGAGCTGTGCCATGGCCAGCTGTGCCACAGCAAGAACACACTGAAGAAGGAGCAGCCCAGCTGCAGCAGCTCTTCCCAGGAAGGGAAGGCAGTGCTGGCTCAGGCTGCTCTCTCCAGCTCAGCCTGAGCACTCATCCCACTCCCCCCCGAGCCATTCCCACATGCCACGTCCGCACTGGGTCGAGTGCAGTGGCACACGCACCTTCCCCTCCCTCCCAGCCACCACGGTAAGGAAGAGGCAGATCTCTCCAGGAAAGTGTCACCAGGAAGCTCATCCCAAGTCCTGCTGAGCACTAACACAGGGGAGGTGCTCAGCACTCAGGGAGGTGCTCAGAGGTGACCCACGCAACTGCTGGAGCCCTTCAGCTGCTGCCACAGTGGTCGCAGTTTGGGACCTGCACCAAGCTCCAGCCCAGCGCACGACCCACTTTGGGACTGGACACACTGGAAGTTGTCAGCCAGGGGTTAATGACAGACTCCCGGCCATCCCAGCTCCTAATGTAAAGGTTACACAGCACAGGGGTAGGGTCTGCTCCAGAGGAGTCTTTAAGTACAGCTAAGCTCACCTGGCCCATCGAGGCTCCCCTGCAGCACTGCCTTCTGCAGCATCTCGCTTATCAGCGTGGCCTCAAACATCTGCTTTGAACGCAGCACAGGATCAGTAAGTGACAGGTACCTGCTGGAGGGGGTTCTGGTCTCCTTAGCAGATAACGTCAAGAGCAGCCATCAGCAGTAGAGAGCAATGCTCCCTCCGAAGCAGATCTCATGAAGTTATGTCTATTGGATAGAAGTAAATGATGTGACATCTCCTCCTGCAGCCGCGGACGAGCTTTCAGGGATGACAGCACGCAGGGTTACGGTAAGGCTTTATTCAGCACAGGAAGGAACAGACATGCAGATCAGGTAGGGTTGTATAACCAAGGTATGCGCTTCCCAATCCCAAACACCACGTGGCCAGAATCCAAAACTCTGGCCTAAAACCTCTGGGATCACTCAGAGACAAAACCTGTCCCAGCAAAGATGCTCAGCAATTCCCTTCCTGCTTTACCCTACACGTCGCGATGGCCTTCCCTGGGAAGGGGGGCCAGGAAAGAGGTGTCACTGACCAGCAGAGCTGGGCCAGCAAAGGCAGAGGGAGATGAGGAGGCAAAAGCCTCGGCCCAGCACACTGCCGGGCAGAGGCAGGAACGTTCTGCATGGCTCACGCCTGAGCACTCTTGCAAGGGGCCACCTCAGTTTATAGTGAGGACGTCACTCTGAATCTCGTGGCTTAGCTGGGTCTGGAGGTCGCTCAGCTTCTTCTTCAGGCCAGACAGCGCGGAGAGAACGATGGTCTCTGGGCGCAGAGAACCGCAGGACTCCACGTTGTAGTAAAACCTGAGAAGTCAGTGGAGTTAAGTCACCATCTGCTCTGCGAGAAGGTACAAAACCAGGGAGCCCCCGCGGAGCGGTTCCAGCCTGTCCTGCCCCACCACAGGGAGTTCTGCGGGTAATCCCAACCATCCCAACCGGGCAACAACCAGCGCTGCCCCTCTACAGCTGTCACACCAACGCTCATGACTCCACAGGCTGCAAGAGCACTTCTGAGGTCTTCCCCATTGAGCACTGTGACCTGTGAGCCAGCACAGAGCCCCACACCAGAGTCAGACTGGATGCAGGCATCTCTGCAGTACAAACAACCTGGGAGAGGGGACACCACCAGCAACAGAGCACAAGAGACCCACAGGGCTGAATAAATACCCTAAGCCATTTTCCCCCACAGGCCTCACACTTCGCTGAGTGCTGCACTCCCCTACTTGAGAACACAAACTTGAGAGGTGTCTAATAACTCCCAGAGGGAAAAACCTGCCAGGCCTGGGCATATCACCAGTTAACTCCAGCTTCTGCCCTGCTTTTCAGGGAACACCAGCTCCCTGGGCTGGCAAACTTCAGTGCAGAGTTGTATTAATGAAATACTCTTAATATTAAGAGCAATATTCTTGTATTAAGAGTAAATACTCTTGTATTAACAAAAGCCAAAGTGATGCACCCAGCCAGTCCCCACCATTTTTCATCTGTGGCAGCAGATCCAGCTTCCTACCTCTCTGGCTTCCCGTTCGGGTCGTACGGAGCCTGAGCATCCTCTTCATCGATCTCGGAGTACTCACTCTTGGGCCTGGAATCAAAGAGCAGGGAAGGTCAGCACGGAGCCCACACTCTAGCCCGGCCCCACAGCAGCTCTCTTTGGCCCCAGAGAGTGAGCACTGGGGCTGATGTCCAGCAGGCAAAGGAGCAGTCAAGTCATCATCAAGTCACAGAAAAAAAAAAACTCAGTCCCACGTTACGCTTTCTAGCTCCTCATTAATGCCACACAGTCACCCAGCAGCAACTGGGTGCTGTGGGAAGAGAAGAGGATCAGCCCCACTCTGCCCAAATCCAGCGAGCCCTGTGGGGGGTACTGAGCTCCACCTGCCTACACTGGCACAATCTGGCTGGTGCTGACAGTGAAGGGATGCAGATGCTCGAAGGGGCTGTGTTTGCAGAGCCTGGATGCTGTTCATGGAGCAACGAACCTTAAGTTACCTTTTGTTCATTTTTTACCAGGCCAGGAAAACACTTCCCACACTGTCTGTGCAGCAACAGCTGAGATGGGCAGGTCCAGTGAGCTTGTGCCCAGCAGGAAAAAAAAAAAAATCTCCTGTACTTCAGCCACCAGCTCCATCAGTGAGCACCGTCCTGATGTCCTGCACCTCCGCTCCTCTACACACATCGCTACCAAAATCCCTGCAATCCCTGTGCATCAGCCAGGCCAACACTTCTTTCTACCTGCTGCATCCCTTGGCTTACAGAGCACTGTACCGGAGAGACTGTCTGGAAGCACTTCATCTATGTAAGAAAACCCAAAGCCTTGAGCTGTCTGAGAAGCCAGGACAGAAAATCCTGTGCCCATCAAGATCTCCTGCTGGCCTTCCTCTGCCCTAGCAATGTCAACAAAGGTTGATCCTGGCACTCTGTCATCAGCCACCCTAAATAAAACTGCATTTCCCCAACAAATCCTCTGTCTGTAACAAACCACTGAGAGAGAGAATCATAGAATGGTTTGGGTTGGAAGGGACCTTAAAGCTCATCCAGTTCCA